AAGAAGAAAAGAGTTGAAATTTTGCACTTAACAGATACAAGTTAGGAGCTAAGCCTTTTAAGTTTAAAATAAAACCAGGTCTTGGGGTTCAGACACAAAACAGGTACTGTAGGTGACATTGATTTATACTTCAAACTGACATTGATTGTGAATTACACAGAGTAGTAAGGGTATCAATACTCAAATGGATCATAACAGGATTACAGAAAGACTGATTTAAATGCCTCAAAGCAATAATTCCATTCTCTTTAAATTCACTTCGACAGCCTTCAACAATGTGGGAGCCAAAAATAACAATTTCATGCATCTCAACAGCTGAGATCTGCAGCAGCCCACACAAAACATATATCAAGAGAGAAATAGATGAATTAAAGGATCTTAGATAAAAAAAATATATATATATTGTAAATAACAATAACAGTCTACATTACTTTAAGGTCACACTGTCCTACCTAAAGCATATTGCGAGCTAATTTCTTGCCCTTAAAAATTACATGAAAAAATCTGATAAAAATTGATCACCACCTTGAAAAAAATTAAGGTATTTAGTCAATGGTATTGATGTGTTACATAACAGCTCTTCCTGTGGGGAGGGGATTTAGGACAATTATAAATCTGGATGGAACGAAAAGTACACGACAGCTCATAATCATACGCCGAGCCCTAGAGACTTAAAATATCCCAGACAGTTTTTAACAATTCAATACATGTGATGTGTACGAGAGAGCCAATTTAACATGGAGAAAAACAGATTGGCGTTCCAGCACAGAACACAAAAGACGTCAAAACCAGGAAATAAGAGAGCAAACGGAAAACAAACAGTACGAGAGAGACATGGCATTTCCAATTAGGGATCAATACAGTATCTATCTATCCATCCATCCAGGGGAGAGTTTGGGTCTATCATTTAGTCAGGAGTTGGGTGCCTCACTCAAGGCCCCCACCTACAATCCCTGCCGGTACGAGACTCGAACCCGCAACCTTTGGGTTTCGAGTCCGACTCTCTAACCATTAGGCCACGACTTCCCCCAAAGGATTCGTGAGAGGAAACATGTAGAAACCTTTGAAGCTCCCCTGAGCGCAATCACAAATATGATGATGATCTGGTCAGTCGCACTGGTGCTCCTAAATATTTTTTCATATTCACACGCAGTAGTTTTCATTCGCAAATGCGACTGAAATGGTCGCACTGTAGAGCCCTGTAGGGTTGGGTATCATTTGGGTTTTTTCGATACTGGTGCCAAATCGATACTTTTAAAACTGTTCCGGTGCCTAAACCGATACTTATTAAAAATAAATCAAACATCCCCAAAAAATTATGGATTGGCCATTAGCACTATAAACACGTCTGTTTCATCTATACTGGACGCCAGAGGGCGCCCTCGCACAAAAAAAAATCCACATATTCAGTCACAGAAGTAGCAGAACTCATGACCCTCCATGAAATCCCTTATATGGACAAAGGCATCGTCATAATAGCTGTAACGGAGTAAAAAGAACATATAAACATTTTGAATGATAAAACAAAGACAAACACTCGACTGCGACAATATAGTTTCTCTGTGTTATTCAAGCCATCTCTGATATTTCTGCCTCATTCTGTGACAAGAAGCCACATCAGATCACAAAAGGAAGCATTTGACTGGTGTTGTGGAGTAAAAAGGTTATAATGTTCTCTTATGTTGGACAACAGGTTTAGAAATGTGAATACAAGGGAGGTTTAACGTTAGCTTTAAGCATTGTAATTTAAGCATGTTTAGCTTAGTTAACGGAAGGCTACCAGCTGCCATCAGAGCAAGTGTAATTACTGCATTCACACGCTCCTCGGATGCTCTCATTTCCCGAGTTGTGCTTTTAAGTCGGAATGTGAAAACAACATGGACACTCACGTCACTACAAAGATTTGTTGGATTTTATTATTAGAGCTTTCCGACTTGAGTTCACATGCATTTTCTCAGTCTGAAAATTATTTTTCACGTGCGGTGCCGGTGATGATGCTTCTTACGTCCGGTTCGGAGAACCAGAGGACAAATATTTCAACCAATCGCTCAGGCATGGCACCGAAATCTGCGTTCTGATTCGGTTCTAGTACATACCGGTTATATAGGTACCGGAGCCATATTGGTACACAACCCTATTCACATCAATTGTTAACTCAGCGGTACAGTTCCACTCACGGGACACTGCACTTATTCGCAACAAGTCACACACTAAAAAGCCTGTCAAACAGCACCTAATTACTGGACTACGTTATCTTTCATGTCTGACTAATACTAACTAATACGGTCAAAAACACACAAGGTTTACATATAAACACAACTGGTTATGTTTAAAGTGTAAGTAAACAGTTGAGAGAAAAACTGATGTGTGAATGTCTTAAAGTGACAGCAGACTAATTGTACTAAACATGCTGCTGCTTGTCATTAAAGGGATAGTTCACCCAAAAATAACAATTCTGTCAGTATTTGCTCACTCTCATGTTGTCGCAAACACAAAAGAAGATATTTTGAAGAATGTGGTAACCAAACAGTTGCTGGTCCCCACTGACTTTGATAGGAAAAAAAATACTATTGAAGTCACTGGAGACCAGCAACTGTTTGGTTACCCACATTCTTTAAAATGGCTTTTATGTTCAACAGAAGAAAAACCTCATTCAGGTTTAAAACAACCTGAGAGTGAGCAAATGAAGACAGAATTTTCATTTTGGGTGAACTATTCCTTTAATGTTAATAAAACAACAAAACACAAAGAGAAAAATCCCTCACTGCTCTTGACTGTAGAACTTTAATACAGTTGCTTTAATAAGAATCAATGAATAATTTATATAGCGAAGTATATATAGTGTTTAATTTATTATATTTGTTCATTCAATTTCTTGAATGCTACTGTTAAATACACCTACTGCACCTGGAAAATAAAGCACAGTTTGTTTTATTTGTCTTATCTTTGTTCTTATTTTTTTAATAGCAATGATAAAATAATGACAGATTTTTTATCTTCGTCCACTTTGGACTAAATGTCTGCCATTCTTTTTTATTTTGTTACCTTATAAGGCTTTTTTTTCTAAATAGGGAAATTAGTTTGGCTGTACTGCTCAGACAACCTGCAAAATAGTAAAACCAACATATCATAATAATCATGATAAAAATCGTGATTTGCCTGAAAAACAAAAAATCCTGATATGATATATTTGCCTTATCACCCACCCCTAGGTTCCAACCCCATCCGGGAACAACAAGGTTTCAGAAAGACAAATAGGCCTCCATTTAATAAATTACAGCCAATGACTTATGGGACAGACAATATGTAATGTATCTGAGCGTCATATAAAGGGCTAAACAGATCAAGGTACAGAAGTCAAATTTCCCTTTAAAAACATAACAGAATCGCGTCATTAATTAAGGAGCAAAACATCAAGGATGTCTCTTTAAACCATAAACATCACGTACACATGCGGAACCTGTTACATTTGAGACCCGAGATCAAGCGAGTGCTGCGAAAAATATGCAACGTAACACATTATATAATGGAAAAGTACAGCGCGTTACACTAACCACGGGTTGAGCAGGTTAATATTCTATTACACTTAAAGCCCTCTGCCGTCCACAACCAGGCAAGATACTGAGCTTAATGTAAATACACCCGCAGATCATACGGAAAACAAGGGTTAGGGCGAGCTTAAGGCCATAAAGAATCGTCGGCTGCGTTTCAAAAGCTGGCGTGATGCGTGCGAAAACAGCATTTTTGTACATTATTACGATCGTTTCGAGACGCAGCCTAATGTTGCGCGGCGCGAGGAGGTTCTAATACAAATTCTCTCGCGACGTCAATCCGGCTCGGCGGGGCGAAGACACAGCGAGGAGGGGGAAAACAACCAAATATTATGTAATGCAGCCAGTTATGGAAAACTCCCCGTGTCCAGGCTTAAATCAAAAGTTGTAACTGTTTACCACCCGATTGCATCATTTTTTGCATAAACATGCGTATATTGAGTACTGGACAGATACCGGAAATCAAATTTGTCCCTTCATTTTCTTTAGAAGATATTAGAATAACATTTCCGTCCCACATATTTTTGGCCCCAATGTTGATCCATGTGATGCATATCTAATAACTGATACAGTAATGCATACGATTCGTACCAGCACAAACATAACCCTACTGATCTAGATGCAGCAGACATATACTGCGCACCCACCCCCCGTGCTCGCTCTCTCTCTCTCTCACACACACACACTGCACGCGTTTAACCTACTAAATGTAAAGCCCCCGAGTGAACGAACTTGCCTCATGCTTGATTACCAACTACGTGCTTTCGTAAAGCTGACACGTATAATCATGTCTGTGCTTAATCGGGCTGATTTTGCAACCTTGATGCATAAACATGCGTATATTGAGTACTGGACAGATACCGGAAATCAAATTTGTCCCTTCGTTTTCTTTAGAAGATATTAGAATAACATTTCCGTCCCACATATTTTTGGCCCCAATGTTGATCCATGTGATGCATATCTAATAACTGATACAGTAATGCATACGATTCGTACCAGCACAAACATAACCCTACTGATCTAGATGCAGCAGACATATACTGCGCACCCACCCCCCGTGCTCGCTCTCTCTCTCTCTCACACACACACACTGCACGCGTTTAACCTACTAAATGTAAAGCCCCCGAGTGAACGAACTTGCCTCATGCTTGATTACCAACTACGTGCTTTCGTAAAGCTGACACGTATAATCATGTCTGTGCTTAATCGGGCTGATTTTGCAACCTTGATGGTCTGGCTTTCAACGCCGCCTACTTCACGGGTTTAACCAGAACAAACCGTGGAAAAGAACTACGGAGAGCGAAAAGCGTCTGAACGGAGCCGCATTTGTGGAGCTAACGTGCGCTATTTCACCGCGCGTTGATTTAAGTGCGTAAATGCGATAAAAACGCCTGAAGTTCCCTCACGCTACCGAGTTTTAAACTAACAAAGAGAACTGGAGGAACCTACCACGTGATGAGGAGCCGATTCCGGGGGAAACGTTTGTAATTAATCTCCACGCTTAAGAAATATAGTAGCAATAACTGACAGGTTGAAGCAATGATCCAGATGCAGATTCCGCTGTTGCACGTTCAGGTGGAAAAATCCCGGGCCTCTCGCGCGCTCCGGTGCTCGGTAACCCCCTCCTTTTCCTCCTCCCACTCCTCCGGGCTGCGTTTAGGGATCACGAAATGGGCGAAAGAAACGGGGGCAGTCGAGCTATAGGAGCCCAGGCGGCTGTTTTTCAATCGCCCCCGACAAAAGCCGCGGAAAAACAGTGAACTGTATCCCTTTCCTGGTCGTTCTTTGAGCGCAATCCCTTCTCTCCTTCTCCGAAAGGTCTTCGTGCTCGATTTCGGCTGAGAAAACCCCGGGGTTGTCCGTTTTTTATTGTTGTCGTTCGAGGGGGAAGCGACGAGCTCGGAAAATGGCGGCTCGCTCCTCTCCCTCGGATTGCGAGTCTGACAAACAGAAAGAAGCGGAGCGGCGCAGCTGCGGGAGAGAGACGCCCTACTCCGACCGGCCGCTAGAGGCGCAAGGCTTCCTGTCGTAATGCGTCAGGACAATAGGGGGCGCCACAGTTAGACGTACATTTCCTGTACCACCAAAAATCCTACTTGATGGACGTATAAATTAGTCGAAGAGTCAAAAATATTAATTTGACGGTAAGTAACTTGTTTAGGGATTAACAAAATAACATAGTATAACATATGGATGAAATGTATAGTACCTAGAGCCCTGGCCAGTGTTGCATGTTTCTAGAAAGAAGCTCCAAAATAAATGTACCAGTAGAGGGAACTCAAGCTTCTCTAAAAATGACCGAAAGACAGGAAGTGTTCGAGAAAATCATACTAAATTAAGTGGAACATGACCGAACCAAAAAAAATAAAAAATAGAAAACACTAAAGAATTCAGATGGCATTGCTGTGCATTAAAATAAATGTTATCCTTGACTCCTGCATGCAAGCTCAACTTAAATGCAAGATTTGTATTGTAGTGGTAGTAGTTACAAGCAGGCAGAAAGACAAAAGAAAGGCAAAAAGTGAACAATTATATTTGGACAGGTAACAGAGTACATTTCTAGCTTAAAACAGCTTTTATCACAATAGGTTAGAAATGATGAAACCTAGTTAAGCTTCCTGTTTCTAGAGGCCCTCATAAACAAAACGACAGCACCATCTACTGTTTAAGGGGAATACTCTTTTCTTTTCTTTTTTTGCTACCTTTCTGCAGCACTTATTTAGCTGAACCTTTTTTCTACTTATTCTATACATACTGCAAGTACATCCCCTTAAAATATTACATGTGAATGTATTAAAACAGATGTAAATACACATATGACTTAAAAGAGTGTCAGACCTTAGAGATGACTGGTTTCAGTCTAATCTGGTTTACTGGAGCCTCCATTCTTAATCCAAATGTAATTTGCAAACTCCAAAACGAACAAGACAGTGGTTCCAACCTGCAGTCTGTAAAACAAATTAAAAAGACTGTTAGCATTTGCATTTATACAAAAAAATGTTAAGACACAAATTTTTTAAATGTCAAGTCTGAATTACTAGGGATGTAACGATTCACTCAACTCACGATTCGATTCACGATTATTATTTTTTTTTACAAAATGAGATTTAATTATAAATTAAATGTGTCCTTTTATTATTGCTTGGACAAAATGCTGCACATTTCTTTGTGAAATTGAAATATAACACTATAATATACTAATATGGCACTTGCATATTACTGCCCTTTTGTTGGTTTTGATTGCATCTATTGTCCTCATTTGTAAATAGCTTTGGACAAAAGTGTCTGCTAAATGACAAAATTTAAATATAATGTAAATCCTACCCCTAAATGAATCGCGATTTGTTTAGCATCTCAACCGATTTGAATCGTCACATAATTGAATCGATTTTCAACCGGCTCGCGGTTAATCGTTACATCCCTATAATTACGCAAATTAACTTTGGCCAGGTGTTTTACACTTTAATCACTCTTTTATATAACTTTATATTTTAACGTTTAAATATCAAAACTAATTCGTTACATAAAACAGAGCTACGTATCATGTATTTAATCTGTCACCATCAGATCTAGGGAAAACAATAGCAAGAGATATTAAACGTATATAAGCAAGTAAGTTAATTAAACTTAATAAATCAATGAAATGTAAACAAATTAAGGGGGGGGGGGGACTAATAAAAAGTCAAATCCAAAACAAACAGCGCTTTAGCAACTGCGCTTCTAAAGACCGATGATGGAGTTACGGACTGTGTTTCAAAAGCACGCAAGCTGCCTACCTAGACAGCATTTCTGTCGCCACACGCGCGTTCTAAATGCTGTCTAAGTAGGCAGCTCACTAGGTTTTGAAACACAACCACATTGCAATCCATTCCAATGTAATAAAAACCGGTATAGAAAACAATTAATAGATATTATGAACAAGAATATTACATTTGCTATTAATTGGCTAAGTTCTTTAATAGAGTCCAATATTAATGGCATGTACTCATAGGCCCGTTGACTGTAGGTTTAGCATGCTAACATCATCAGCTGATAGTCTGCTGTATTACAGCCTTTCTTTCATCTTCAAGACGAATTCAGTGTCATTTTTTAGCGGACATTCTCACTTGTAACTACAGGAAACATGACAATTTTGCAGTAGCTCTAATTTGATCTGGAGGTTCATTCTGACAGACTGAGAGATTTATTTTGTGCCCAAACAATTTTTGGCCTGTTGACTGCAATCTCCGGGATGAAATTACTTTGTCATAATGTCTACCACTCACTGAATGAGAGGAAAAACGAAACATTGTTTTCCTCTATATCTTATTCAACATTTAACGTTGGAAACAGTATTTTGTCCATACGAAAATAGCAAAAATAAGTATATTTTATATGACAGAGTAGAGAATTCACGTCCACTTACCTGCACAGATCAACCGGACTTGAGCCGGAAGTACCGCCTCATTTCAACCTGTGATTGGTCAGTGTGCGGAAAGGCGGCCGCTGATTGGTTGGTTTATATGTTTTTAGCAAGAGATGGGCTTACGAGTGAAAGTAAAAGACTGTAACTTTGCTAAAGAGTTGATTTTTGTTTATTTGATAGATGGTATTGTCTTTTAAAAACATATGTACCAAACACACTGTTACGTTTAAACTTACATCAGGCCTGTTATAAAGCTTAATATCACAGTATCTTTGTTAGCTGTTGTCATTCTTTCTCGCAAGGTTTTATAAATGTCAACGCTCCTCTATAGAAATAAATGATAATTATTAGACATTCCTAATCACGTTACCAGCGCTGAAGCCTTCTTTAATTGTCCACTGAAGCGAGATTTATTATATTTTACATTAGCATCAATAACTGTAGCCATCACGGCATCTTGGTGTAAACCATGGTAATTTTACGAACCTATTAACGTAGAAATATAGTGATAGTGTTTAAGAACAAAACAAACAAGTGTGAAGCAACGTACTAGAACGTATTAGGATTCGTATTTCGCTTCAATGACCACATCAGAACTTTCAGTCAAAGTTGTTTATTCTATTTCCTTAAAATGTACAATAAGAAGCATTTAGCAGAGATCAAACACATTTTATAATAATAAACATGTTCTGGTAAAATAAAATCCATTTGTGCACATTTTCTATGTTCATCAGTATTGTCCTCAACAGCACCAACATTTCAGAAAATTGTCTCAAGAAGTCTGACCACTGGTCACTGTGCCATAAAATAGTGTTGTTAATTTGGACACTGGTCTGGTTTCCTAAACCCAGACTAATGTGTGTCAAAGAAACCACCCCACCCATAAGCTTATCATTTAATCAACAGTTCTCTAATCAGTGTCTTGCAGCTGGGCAAAAAACATGGATTCAGATGTTTTGAAGGTAGATAAGAGCAAAACAGATGAGTGTGAGAGTGGCAAATTGTTCCGATCAAGACAACTTTTTTTTTTTTTTAAACATAAGTGCTTCTTGAGCACCATTCCTACACACAAGTTTTCAAATCTGGTGAAAAAAAGATCTGCATCATCCAGAACTGATACTTTCAAAAACATTGCTCTTCTAAACAGATGGTAATCTGATAGAAGATATGCAGTTTACCTCGAATCTCATATGCCAAACACTTGTTTTTTTTTTTTTATGTGGGCAGAAAGTGCTTTTTTTTCCCTAGCTATTGTTTCATGATGAAAAAGGGAGGGGAGAGGAATCAAAGGACTACCAACTCTTACACAGGTCTTTATTCAGAGTAAATGCTGATAAAATAACATAAAAGGCCTAAGCATTAAGACAGGAACATCCATGAATGTCTGTGGTTCTTTTTTTGAGTCTTAAACTGACAATTAACTTTTGGAGGAGACAGTGGAGTCATTGGCAAAACTGGGCAATTTGAGCTCAGGCAGAACTTGAATTCAGTCTGCGATAAAGGAAGCCTGCCAGTGACGATGAAGGATGAGACCAGAAGCACCAGAAGATCAGACCGATGAGAGACCTCTAAGGCATGATGACACGGGGGTGGAAAAAGGCAAGAACGAATGATAAAAATAAAACGAGAGACATGAGGAGGTACTGTTATTAGCAGCAGTTTGTTTTCCTTTTTTCTTCTTCCTCCTTTTTCAGAGCTGGAGTCTTCAAGTAGCCCCCAAATTGGCATTATTTCAAAGTCCAGAGTGGTGTCGGGGGCTACAGAACCTCATCGCTCTCCGTGGTGTGGAGCTGTGTGTCATCAGCGTCCGTCATACTGCTCTCCTGTGACTCCTCCACCTCCGCTGCTGAGAGCAACAAACAACATTACATAGTGCACACAGCACCACTTAAATGGCTCACTTGGTAGTAGACTTACTTGAGTAGTAGGGATAATCATCAGGAGTGACAGGTTCGTCATCATCTGGGAGGTATCGCTTATCTATGGCCTCTTTGATCTGATTATTGGCTCCTTTAGGGTCCAAGTCCATGGCCCAAGAGAAGTTCATTAGTGCCAGATGAGTCTGGCCAAGCTTCTTATAGACCTATACAGATGATGAATATATATATATATATTTTTTTTATTAAAAGATAAATTTTATATAAAATATATGCAAGTAAACAACTGAGTTGTATGAGTACCTTTCCTATTAAGAAGTAAACAAGGGACTCTTTGGGCACTATTTGTTTCAGCTCTTCAAGCTCCTGCAGAGCCGCCTGTAAAGAATAAATGAGTAATTTGACTTTCCCAAAGAGGGTTTTTGCAGGTTTTATGAAGATAATTTTAGGAAAATTCAATAAATGTAATGGAATACATCAATATGGTGTCTAAATGTAAATGTTTTGTATTTCCACTGCTTTGAAGTTTGAAAAAAACAACTTCGAACAGAACTCAGAAAAAAAAGCTTATGGCTTTATTAACTCTGCTCTAAACCACCAGAATATGAAAATCTTTACCTTTACCTTCTGATTATACTGCAAAAAGTGATGTTCTTCCTCTGTATTTTTGTCTTGTTTTCCAGTACAAATGTCCAAACATTCTTAAATCAAGATATTTGTTCTTGTTTTAAGCATAAACTTAAAAAAAACAAAAAACAGACTTTATATTTTTAATTTGCATCTCAAGTAAATGCATCTAAATGTATTTAGACATTTGTATTTGAAAACAAAACAAAAATACTGAGGAAGATGTATTTAGGAAAAAAATGCTGAATCTTGACTGACTGATGTTAATGTCATGGTACAAGTTGGGGAGTACCTTGTACTTTTCATTGGCAAAGAGAATAGAGGCCCTATGGAATTTGCATAGCGGGTTCTTGGGGTCGATGCTAATGGCTCTGTTGAGGGTCTCCAGTGCATGGTCTGATTTCTTCAAAGCATGTTGAACCTGATATGGAGCACATGAGAAAGGATATGAAGATGTAGCAATGCAACAAACTCGAACAGTCGGCACCATGTGTTTTACCTATTTATGTATAACAAACAAGTACATATATGCTAGTCTGGCATTACCAAACTCCAAACAATTTTTTTTAACTAAAAATAAAAAAATACAATCAAGTAACAATCTTGCACTGTTGTTTACCTACAAAATAGTGCTGGGCGGTATGACCAAAAATTTATATCACGGTATTTTTCAAAATTATACCGGTTTCATAGTACATGACGGTATTTTTTTCTCATGCATGACCGGGTGTTAACCATATTTTCTACTGATTGAGAGAGGAAATACTGCAGTATATTGACTTAGAATGCCCTATTTTACTGTCATGATGAGTGAATATTGTCAAAAAATACCACACTAAATAGTGACTAAACACGACCCCTTTTAATACATGTTAACCAGGAGTCACTCTCATTTGTAATCGCGGCATCGTCTGATAAAATCAACATGCATCTACACTAAAGATTCTATGGAAAAAAGACGCTAAAAGGGTCTGAAAGTGGCTAAATCTAGTGCTGAAGTTGCGCTCGTGTGTGTGAGACGCGGGAGCTGATGGCAGGGGGCGGTGGATATTTGTGGTGGTCAATGTGGATATTGTGGATGAGTTCTTCTGTGTCATCACGTTCTATTAGTTCTACAGCTTCAGTTTCGGAACTTTCACGCTTAGTAACACATACAGCTGTTCCCTCACCACAGTGCACCAGTGAAAAGGACCCATTTCAAACAGTGTCGCGTTCCGAACGTTGTTTAAGTGACATACACCCGGTATTGCGGTATTTTAAAAATTCATATCATAACAAAAATAAACACCGGTATTCGGTATGAACCGGTATACCGCCCAGCACTACTACGAAATGAGTGTGTGTGGGTTGCATCACTTTAGATTAACACTATTTTCTCTACATTAGTTTTACTTACCACTCCAATATGACAAAGCAGCACAGAGCTCTGAGGATTGATGCTCAAAGCCTTCTTGAAATGAATCTCAGCTAGGTTAAATTTCTCCTGCTTGTAGTAAATCATTCCCAAGCCGTACCTAGCGTAACAGACAGAAACAATGAGCCTAAATGGCAGATGGTTTTCATCATTTAAACGAACACTGACAATATAAAATGAACCTTTACATTTTACAATTTTCTGGTTTAATCTAAAATAGTGTCTCATTTCCAAAGCCAAAGAGTAGAGTCTGAACCGTACCAGGCATTGTAGTGACGTTTATTGAGGCGTATAGCATTGCGGAAGCAGCCCAGGGCTTTCTCCAGCTCCTCGGTGAGAACTAGTTCATGCCCTAATAGTGTGTATGCGTATGCAAAGCTGGGGTCCACCTGGATGGCCCGTGTGAAGAACTTAATGGCTATGTCATGTTCCCGCTGTAAGCTGAAACAGTTACCAGCTACACACCAGGGCTGTACACAGAGAGAGGAAGAAATAAGCCATGAGAAAAAGCAATCAAATGCTGAACTCTGCTCCTTTGCTGTATTACTCTGAGAGACTTACCTCTGGCGAGTTTTTGTCCATGTCAGTGAGATCTTTAGATAGGGCAGAAAGCGCCACATCCTTCTGTAAATGCCAGAGTGTTGTGGAATAGATCTCCATACCTTCCACTCGATAGCTCTCAATACGCCGGACTTCTGAGAAAATCCTCTCTGCCTGGTTAAACAGACACAAAAATTCAGTCTTGATTCTCTTTTCTGCAATTCACTGTTTGAATTATTATTTGTCACCATTTTCTACCATTGATAATTTCTTCAATGCCTTCAAAAACGGCTGTCATCTGATTTCAGCAGCCCGACTCACCTGCATGTATTCAGCCACTTCAAAGTGAGCTCGTCCAATCTGACCCAACACCCAGCCTGTGTTGTAGTGGTGTGAAGGCAGCTGACTCAAGATGTTAATGGCCTCTCTGCAGTTATAAGAGCAGAGAGCTAGATAGCCCCTCCCAATATCCCGCATCAACGTCATCAGCCCATCTGAATAAAACAGAGGAAACAATTTCAAGAACCTGCGTCAGTTTTGGTGGAGCACGGATAAATAATGTATAAATACTGTAATATGTCATGTGTTGATTGCATTTTTTTTTTTTTTTAAATTGCAAATACCTGCAGCAGCCTTTTGTAGATTAAAAGCCTGGAACTGTGGTGAGCTGATGTTGCCTTTTCCCTCTGATATAGAAGAATCGAGTTTGAGGATCTCTATGCTCTCATTCAGGTTAGATGGGGTGATTCCTCCCTTACCCATTTTCGTTTTTGTCTTTCGGTTAGGAATCTTGGTGGGGAACTTCATTTTCAGCTTCTTACTGTTCTCCTGTTCAATTCCATCATTAAGAGTGTTGATAAAACGGTCTCTAAAGAGTGGTTGAGGATTTTTTTGGAAAATCTTACAAGTGTATGCATAAACTTGCATGTGTAAAAGACAGTACCTTGGCAGTGGAGCTGGCACTGGTGAAGAGTCTTGAGCTCCGCCGTGGCTGCACATTTGGGGGAGCAGCAATGGTTGGGCTCAGCACTTGTGGTGTAGAACTACAAAGCAGGAAGACTTGTTATAAGAAGCCATTATCATAGCCATGAGCTGCCTGTATATATATATATATATATATAAATTTTTTTTTTGTTGTTGTTGTTGACATTAGGGCTGCACGATAAATCGCATGCGATATTTAATGCGTATCTTGTCAGAAAGCCGGTTCTGTAATCAGTGGTAAATCTCCATCATGTTGACGAGCTGCGCAAAAAATCGCACGAATATGAACGTGGTTTTGCGCAGCTCGTCAGTGAACAACGGCTCTGTGTAGTCAATGCTGCTTAATGTCAAAGCACGCACGGGATGGAGATTTACCGCTGATTACAGAACCGGCTTTACTGATAAGATGTGCGTTAAATATCGCATGCGATTTATCGTGCAGCCCTAGTTGACATGTACCTAGTCTGTGGGGCAGTGGTCTGAGTTAGGTTGAAAGGGTTTGGAATGAGCTCTCTGCTGTTGCCACTCTGTGCAAACACTGACTTTGTCCCCACTTGGCTGATTCTACTGATGGCCTGAAATGAAGAAAAAAAAAAAAGAAAAGAAAATTCATACATTATTTATCATTTACAGTTTGATTATATAAAGATGATTTCTGTCTAGTAAAAACACAATTTTTGGTTTTTACAAAGTCTTACAATTTTTAAGATTTTATTTGGGCAGATTTTGTATTATAAATGGGACACAGAAAGAATTTTTCACATTCTTTTGGAACAAGAGTTCAATGTACTACACTGAAAACAATGACAAGAGACAATTTTCTTGTTAGTAAATGTCACAATTAATTACAAAGAACCATAACACATTTAATGAAATGTGAATACTAACTCAATATAAAGAAAAATAAGCTGCAAAATAATTTACATACAAAGTACACATCAATACCTTTTTTGTAACAGAAACCTGTCCCACTCTACTGAAATTAACTCAAACTAAAAAAAGGTCCTTCACATACATAGTCTTAATGTTACAGTAATAAAAAAACGGGTGTACAAAAAGGGTGTAAAACCTAAACTACATTACTCTCTTTTCTGGTGAAATAAACTTTGGCTAATGTTACAATATTTTAAAGAAAAACTACAATTATACAAAAGCGTAGAGCACAGCCCCTCAAAAACACAAGTCCCGTAAGAGTACTTTAATAGCAAGCTGCAAGAAATAAAGAAGGCTTACCTTCTTTGGAGGGCCAGGCGGAGGAGGTGGTTCCATCCCACTTCCACTGTGACTGTAATTCTGCAGGTACGATGGGTCTCCAGGGCTCGGCTCCAGAGGCAAAATTCCAAAACTACACAATTTTAAATAGATAGATTACTAGAATGGAAACATAAGAGCCAAATCATCACATCCATAATGGGAATCAATAAAAAAAAAAAGTACTTGGAATTACATAAAGAAAGTCTCATGCATTGATAAGTGTGAGTTAGGGCTGCACGATTCATCGAAATTAAATCGCAAATGCGATAAATCGCGATTAGGCAGAAGCTGCGATTGTCATGCATATCTTTCAGTGAAGCACAGTTCTGTGATCAGTAGTAAATCTCTATCCAAAGGACCAAGGGCGCTCTCGCGCTGAAACTCCAAATACGCCCCGCAGAAGAACTCCAGGAAATCCCAATAGCAGTTGCTGAATAAACAGAAGATTTAACTGCTTTCATTAATTCAACGTGACTAATAAACACACGACTACGACAATATATGGTTTATCGGAGTTCGTTTTATTATAATGTTTATTATAATAAAGTATACAATAATGCAATGCTAATCGACATAGCCTTTATCACTCCTTAGAATACTATGAAATATGTTGCGTGCCTTATTCGGTGTAAGAAACCACATCATCTCACAGAAGGATTTATTTCAAACACTCGTCTGATGTTATGAAGTGAGTTTGGTGCTTTCATGCTTTCAGATGGAGCAGAATTTACTACACAGAGCCGTAGTTCACTGACAAGCTACACAAACAGCTTTCATAATTGCTAGGGATGCACCGATACCACTTTTTCCAGTACTCGCCTGATACCGATACTTTTATTTTTGGTACTTGCCGATACCGAGTACCGATACCAATATTTTCATTGCATTTGTAAATGTTTTAAATATTGGGTACAGAAACCAAAAGAGTATGTATAATGTTAGTTGGTTAACTTCATTTATCAAATAGATACAGTCAAACCAAAATTTATTCAGACACCTTCAGCATTTGTCACATTATCACAGTTTATTTGCTATAGTTTAGAAAATGGTAATAAAATATGACAAGAACTCAGAGTTAAACTGTGTCAGAACAAATTCAGCTTGATAATGTCAGATAACTTTGATAGAAAGGTATGTAATGGATTACAATAAACCAAAAATTATTCATACAGCTGTCAGTATTTACACAACTATCAATACTTTGTCAGGTGACCCTTAGCCTTAATGACACAACCCTCTACATTGCGAGTAAATCACTCGCATATGTGACTAAATCTTCACTCTGGTGACTAAATGATGTCTAATATTAGCCAATTGCTAATAAATTCTCAGATTTTACTCGCCAGTGTGTGAGTTGGAGGCTAAGTATAAGTTTAGCTCAGATATATTTTCACTCGCCGAACACTCTCTGACTGAGCGCATCAGAGTTTCACTCTCCGCTAAGCCATCTGTGCTGTTTTTCAGTTCATCTGAATGGATGTGCAACGCACAACGTACCGTAAACTCTAGTGTGAAGGCGCACGACTCGCCGTCGCTTTGTTTCACACACACACGCAGAGAGAGAGGGAGAGAGAGAATTGACGCACTACCTATGCGCGCTACATGTAAACGATATTCTTTGTTGTGTTTTGCTGTCAAAATAATGGAGTTCCTTTGGAATTCTTCCGCTTTTAAGAAACTAATAGGCGGAACTACTGCGCAAACGGCAATCTCATTGGCTGGCGCTCACCTATTATCGTCCCTGTTTTGATTTCAGCAAGCACAGTTCTGTGATCAGTAGTAAATCTCTATCCAAAGGACCAAGGGCGCTCTCGCGCTGAAACTCCAAATACGCCCCGCAGAAGAACTCCAGGAAATCCCAATAGCAGTTGCTGAATAAACAGAAGATTTAACTGCTTTCATTAATTCAACGTGACTAATAAACACACGACTACGACAATATATGGTTTATCGGAGTTCGTTTTATTATAATGTTTATTATAATAAAGTATACAATAATGCAATGCTAATCGACATAGCCTTTATCACTCCTTAGAATACTATGAAATATGTTGCGTGCCTTATTCGGTGTAAGAAACCACATCATCTCAAACACTTGACTGAGGTTATGAAGTGAGTTTGGAGTAAAAACAAGTTATTAAATGTGTTATTTTCACGTACTTTCAGATGGAACAGCATTTACTACACAGAGCCATAGTTCACTGAGAAGCTATGCAAACAGCTTTCATAACTGCCGAACGATTTCTTTGATTTCATTATCGTGCGATTATATCGTCTGCGATTATGAATGCGATTTTGCGTAGTTTGTCAGTGAACTATGGCTCTGTGTAGTAAATGCTGCTCCATCTGAAAGCACGTCCAAAGAGTGTTACTTTCTTCTCTAAATGCCTCATCAACATACTTGAGTTATTTGGATACCTTAAAAGGACACATTATGATTGAATAAGACAGAAGCATCCTGGTTTGATTAGGATATTCTGAGTCAGAGTGTAATTCTGGGTCGCACTCTGCAGCCAATCTGTATGACTGTTGACCATTTCTTGCAGGAAATAAATATTCAAAAGACTTTCTGCCTTTTGCCTTATTGAGATAGAAAATTGCCACGACACCCAACATCTCATGCAGTACAGGAAAAGATGAATCTCTAATGAGAGAAAACAGAAAATCTTTTGTTTCTTGCCAGTTGCCACCTTACCTGAAGAAATGTAGAACTCTTAAAGCAATTTCTCACAGTTACTGAGTGCTGCTCTACACAAGTGCAAAACAAAATACTCAAAAAGAGCCGTCTACATCTAAATCCAATACAGATAAAGAGCTTTGGTACCAGCCTGCTTCATCCAACAAATTAAACACAGCCTCTCACTAGTAGGGCTGTCAAAATGACTGAAAAACTAAAAATCGAATTTTGTACTTAAATATGATCAAAATTCGAATTATATTCTAATTTAAAATGCATAATTTCAGTCAGGGTGAAGAAAAGCTTTTGGCTTTTTATGGCAAAGCAGATATTTTCGTATCTTCACTAAGGGTCATTGAATTTAGTAGGTGAAGGTAAGCAGCCAAACAAGCTCAACATACCAGTAGATTTGCCCTAGCAGTGCCAGAGTGAAACAGGCCGAGTCTCCAAACTCAGTAATGATGTCGTCTTGGCTCTTCTGTTTGTTCAGAACTCCTCCAGTCAGGATCTGCTCGCCCTCTGCTAACCTGATGGAGAAAAACACAAATAAATCAAAACTGCAAGAAATGTGTAATGAAATTCATAAGACGACCCAGACAACCACTGTCTCCAGACCTCATGCCAACCTTGAACGAAGGTGAAGCCATTTCTGCAATTAATTACAGTTTTAATTACAATTAAAACACTGAAGAAATATTGTATGATTATTCCTTAAAAATACGGTTTTAATAATTTAGTAGTAGTAGTAGCAGCCTATTACATACATTCTACTGAACAACAGTAATATATTTCTGCCGCAGTGTCTTCAAGTTTATTTTGACGGGTTGCCATGAATACCTTTACATTTCTGTGTGTATATGATATGAGGATAGTTTTACTCAAATGAAACGGTCAAATGTTCATGAAGTGACTCTCAGAGCAGTTCTGGAGATGTTGTTCATGTATTTATGTCCGCATTAGTGAGTTGGCAGACGCTAAAATCACCGCAAGCGTCACGCGCGAGTGGTAAACAAAACCGCTCGTCTGCGCCATTCACACAGAGATACGCAGAATTCATATTTAAATAGTCGTTTTGCGGTTTAATATTTACAAATACTAGTGGGAGTGTGCTCACTTGTGTGCATGCATCGGGGCGAAACTCCGCTGTGCGCGATACAGAAAGCGCGACCATAACGTAGAGACAGAAATGACATTCCGTCGTGTAAATAAGATAAATAACATAAGGCTATTTAGCTTGCTTAATAAAAGAACAAGGTATAGACCTGTTATATCGGAAAGGTAACTTTAAATGACTTCTGTTGTGATCTGGCGCTATAGAGAAAATAGAATTAAATAAAATTAACTTGACCTTCAAGGGGGTAGGGGGTGCCGCCCCCCTAATATAATGGCAGGGGAAACATTCATGGATAACAATATCTATAGCATTAAATCCCATTCATTCTTAGAATTAATATCCTACTGTATTATATTACATGTCTCTCAGGTAGGGATGTCAAAAGTAACCCTACTTCAGTACTAAAGTAAAGACACAGTCTACAGTATAGGTAGTATGTAAAACTGCCTCACTCTCTCACTGACTGGTGGCTGCTTTCAAAAGCCACATATACTTTTCACAAAGGTAAAATGCTTGTCTTGAAGAGGTAAATGTAATCACAGTCACTCTGTCTTAAAGGTGGGGTAAGCGATTTTTCAAAAACGCTTTAGAAAACTGATTCGGGCCGACTAGCAAAACAAACTTGTATCCAACCAGCAGTTAAGGGGCGTGTCTACTCGTGATGTGGAGGAGAGAGTGTTCAGTGGACGGACATTAGCCGAGCTGAGCGACAGAAAGATAGAGATGGCGGATAAAAAAAACAAGAGGAAAACGTCTGCGGAACAAAAGAAAGCTTAAGGCAAGAAGTAGGACCCGTGTAAATATCGGATCAGCTTTCCAGCACTGGAGAGAACTCAAGGAGCGGAACGCCTTTGCTTTGTTCCACAGAACTAATCGTTGCCTGGGTTGCGTACGTATGTGTGGGGCGGAGCTATCAAAATAGGGGCGAGACCCTTTTGGGGTAGGGGCGTGTTTGTTTTGGTGATTTCAAATGTCAACATTGGCTACCAGAAATCGCTTACCCCACCTTTAAGTGAAAGCAAACAGACAGAACAAAATGCAGTATGACTGCACCATGAGACCTGCTGCTGCTTATGTCATTAATATTTAACAAGACACAAAAATAAGTCAATTAATTGGAAAAACCTTGTGAAATACTTTCAAACTAGTTAATATCTATCTTTAATATTTACATAAACGATTTTGTGATAATGCATATAGCAATTGCTTTTGAATATCACTATGATTGTGAGGTATTGAGTATTCTGAAATTTCACTACTGAAATTTTTGTAAAGCAACAACACTGTAAGCTTTTGGAAGAGATAAACATAGATACACGCACTGGGATACAATGATAATGAGTCAGGAGTTTATTATAGGATTGGTTGGGGAATAATTAGTCATCCATACTTGCTCAGTTCCACACAGCACTTGGCGAGGAGATATTTGCATTGTGGCGTGGTGCAGCTGTGTCCTTTCAGGAGGTGGTAGGCTTTATACTCCTTCCCTGAACGGTAGTAGCATGTAGCCAGCAGGAAGAGCGCTTCTTCCGAATGAACTGAAAAGAAAGGAAATTCAGAAGAAAACAAATTATAGAATGGAACATGATTTGATTGCATGTTTTATGAAGCTAAATTGAAGACTTTTAAAGACAAGTAAAGAAACTTTTATGAATAAATGGAATGGAATGCAATGAGTCAATATGCTCTCTAAATGTAAATGTCTTGTATGAGCAATGCTTCACAGTTTGAAAATACAACTTCCAATCTCAGAAAAAAAAGCGCATGGCTTGGATACCTCTGCTCCCAACCACTAGAATCTTGAAATAACTTTTACTGTACCTTCTAATCGCACAGCAAAAAAAAGTGATGTCCTTCCTCAGTATTTTGTTTAGTTTTCCATTAAATCAAGACACATTTACTTGAAATGGAAAAATGACAAAATTAGTTAGTCCCGTTGAAGTTTATGTTTAAAGTAGTAGCATGTAGCCAGCAGGAAGAGCGCTTCTTCTGAATGAACTGAAAAGAAAATTCAGAAGAAAACAAATTATAGAATGGAACATGATTTGATTGCATGTTTTATGAAGCTAAATTGAAGACTTTTAAAGACAAGTAAAGAAAATTTTATGAATAAATGGAATGGAATGCAATGAGTCAATATGCTCTCTAAATGTAAATGTCTTGTATGAGCAATGCTTCACAGTTTGAAAATACAACTTCCAATCTCAGAAAAAAAAGCGCATGGCTTGGATACCTCTGCTCCCAACCACTAGAATCTTGAAATAACTTTTACTGTACCTTCTAATCGCACAGCAAAAAAAAGTGATGTCCTTCCTCAGTATTTTGTTTAGTTTTCCATTAAATCAAGACACATTTACTTGAAATGGAAAAATGACAAAATTAGTTAGTCCCGTTGAAGTTTATGTTTAAAACAAGAACAAACGTCTACCAATGGGCTCAGAAAAAATGACTTAATTCAAAGGGAAAACAAGTTCATATACACCATTAACAGATTATTTGTTCTTATCTAAGCATTAACTCACTTCATTTTGTTTGGTTTCTCAGAAAACAAGATGTCATATGTTCAATGTGCATCAAGAAAATGTTTCTTGATTTAGGGATGTTTAAATATTTGTATTGGAAAACAAAATACAAATACGGAGGAAAACATTCATGTTTTGCAGTGCGTATAACATTTAATGCCATGACCATATGAATTTCTTTTTAGAACTTAATTTGTGGACGAGTGAATTATGACTTTTCAAGACCTGCAGAAACCCTGTATAAAATCAAATTCAGGATTTAATATGAAGGACATAAAAAAACAATAATAATGCAAGCAATGTAAGTTACTTTAAACAGTACTTCACAATGTGTAAAAACAATAAAAATGTGAGCTTCCATTTTGAGTCACACAAACATGTTTTAATGCAATGCCTCAGCCCAGCTCTGAAAGATGAGGGGAAATGGAGGATGTAGTCTGCCTGTATGGAGGACGATTTGTGCAATTACCCTCAGCATAGAGTCTCTCTGCCAGGAATACAGCATCTCGGTAGGCGTAGTGGTTCAGAGCATGCCAGACAGCAGCCTATGGACCAAAACAGAGCTGCCGTTACCTTCATGCCTTTTACAGTTGCCGAAAAGGAGTATGCGTCACAACAATGATAAACCATAGCACTTGATGAAATATGGTTAATGACTTTATTACCACCTGACAGCAAGTATACACTTCTGATCATCAAAATTACAAATGGGCTCCCATATAAACAATGACACTGATTGCAGAGATTTTTTTACATATATAATGACTCATGTGAAATGATCTGCTGTCATTAGGTCAGGTATTGATCACAGTTTTAGCAAATGGTGAACGATTTCAGTATATACAAAGGCTGAAGAAAAATAGGGAAACCAGCTAATGTTGACTGACAGATGAGATGCATATAGGCGCGCTTGGACGCCCCAAAATATTGTCTAGTTAGGCAGCTCGTTCTTGCTTTGAGACACAGCCATTGTATATACATTTGATGCTTTGCTTGACAGATACACACAGGTTTAACAGCTGAGCTTTATGAACCGTTGGCTAGCTGGTATCTGACAAAGACTTATCAAACCCCAAACCTTTGACGTTTGTTGGCCCATTAAAACACCGTAACTTATAAATATAAAAACCCAACGTTAAAAGGCAATTATATGTTACGTTATTATCGCTGATGAGCTTATATATTAGACAACTAACCAGCTCCAGTATTGCTAATGCATTAAATCACTTCAAATGCACTGGTTTGTGTTACTCTTCATATAGTGTCTGTTTGTGAATACCAGCCTTTTCTGCAAACATTCAATTTCACGATTTATAATTATCCTCAACCCTGCTGATATTTTCACACGAGCGTCAGAATAAAACATGACTATACCAATAAAACAAATCTAAATAAATCAGGTAACGTTATCTGGCTAACCTGCAAGACAACGCTTTAGATTCCTTGAAAACTACTAACAAACAAACTGTCCCGAGCTGACAAGCACTGGGTTTATTGGAAACAGCTATTTTAAATGAAAATAAAAGCGATATGTGGTATGTTTAAGGGCAGGTTCTGTGTAAGGTAAAGGGCAGAGGCCGTTAGCATTAGCTGCTAACTGAGGCCGCGGTGTAGCAGCGCTCAATCATCCGGTCTCTCGCGCTGCATAAAAGTCTTCTCCCGCAACTGGGTCTGCAACGGAGCGCTTTAACATTTAGCTCAAATACCTGGACCGGTTCCTGCAACACCGTCATTCCGTAACCAGGCTCCTCTTCACCTCCTTTTTTTGGTTTCTTTGCTCTTTCTTCAGTCGCTTTCTTAGCTCAGTATCCACTCCAGGCCAGAAGTAGCAAAACTAGCATCGAAGATTTGAACATTCCAACCGTTATCGGTGAATCCGGAAATGCCCGAACACGACCGATTCAAATACATACTTTACGATAAGGGGCGAAGGTTGTCGGAAATAGCCGATTGGGAAAGCTCAATTTTCGGAATTATAGGGCGAAATGCAGGTAAAACTGACCAGGCACGACGCCAGAATTTTTCTCTACCGGTGCTAAAGGGGGGGGGGGGGGGTGCTAAGAAAATAAATGATATTGATGATGATAATGTGCAAACCGTACCCGTGCGCTCAGTATTAACAACACAATACATATGCATAATCAGAACTGTGCATACTTAAAACTTAAATAAAAAATTAAAACGAACACCACATCACAACCTTAGTGACTATGTAATGGATTGCATATAGCCTACAGAAGGACGATACGTCTGTTGCCGTGGTTTAGCGCAAATGAGGGCTAAACCGGGGCTATTCAAAATTCTGACGGGGCTATAGCCCCCCCTAGCCCCGGTGTAGCGCCGTCACTGAAACTGACATAAAATGTCCATTACGAATAAAATGTTGTGAAGTTTAGAATAATCTGACTACACTACAGGTTTTAACTAAAGACTATCTAAGCTTTATCAAAAATAATATTAAACCTTAATCAATTAATAAAATCCCGTTCTTAGGATTTAAATAGGGAATTTCTTTATTTGTTTGTAAAACATAATCATAGTATTTATGGGGACCACATAAGCTGGTCACAATACAAGAACTAGTCAAAAGTTTATTATTGCACCTCAAACATAGAAAGAAACTAAAGTAGCATACTTTATATCAATTTGCCAAATCAGATAGTGAAGTAATACTACAATGACCTAAATTATATACCATACTATATATTATACAATACTATTCTGATGGAAAGATGAGATATTATAAGTGGACAACACTAACTTGTTTCATAAGGCATCACTTTCAGCCTCACTTTCATTCTAAAAATATACACACGTGTGTGTGTGTGCCTACTTAACCATAATGTGGGGACACATTTGTACCCAGAAGTGAGCTAAACCTGACAAAATCTCCCAAAACCTCCCTTTGGGGATGTCCTCATTTGTTAAACTGCTATAAAAAATTAAGTAAACCAAGGTTTTAAAAAATAAAATAAAAATTAAGTCACTGCTATCTTCCTTTTCCACCAATGTTCACGCTGCCAAAACTATCTTCTTATAACAAGATCAACAGCGCATCAGACACATGCAAACTCTTCAACACATCCCCTCTTTAACTGCTGACAATTTTGCTAATCACTTCACAAACAATCAGCAGTCATTTCTCGACTCCACTCACCCAGGAACTCACAGCAAACACTCACACAGCTGACCATCTTCTCTCCTCCTTCTCTCCTTTTACAGAAGATGAGGTCTCTTAACTGATCCTCTCCAGCCACCCTACCACCTGTACTCTAGATCCAATCCCCTCACATCTCCTACAAGCTATTTCCCCTGCACTTCTGACACACACACATCATCAAATCTCTTCTCACAGGCACTTTTCCCCACTGTATTCAAGCAGGCTTGGGTAACCCCACTGCTTAAAAAACCTACATTAGACACCTCACTTGTTGAAAGCTACAGGCCCGTATCTCTCCTCCCGTTCAGAGCAAAATCACTTGAACGTGTTGTGTTCAACCAAGTGCCTTCCTTCCTCTCACAGAACAACCAGCTGGGAAATAAACAATCTGGATTTAAAAGTGGCCATTCAATTGAAAACGCCTTGCTGTCAGTTACTGAAGCGCTATGGAGTGCAAGAGTCCAAATCTTCAGTTTGATGAAGATCGGTCTGATGAAGGCCTGGATAATGGCCGAAATGTCACATGTGTTTTTAATCAATAAAAATGGATTTCTTCAAGAAAGAGTGTTGCACCTTTTCTAATGGACAGTCCAAATCTTTAGTTCTCATTCTGCTAGATCTGTCTGCTGCATTCTACACTGTTAATCATCAAATCCTTCTGTCCTCCCTCTCATCACTGGGCATCACCAGAACTGCACTCTACTGGTTTGAGTCTTAACTCAGAGGTAGGTCCTTCAGGGTGTCTTGGGGAGGAGCGGTATCCAAATCACATCAACTGGTCACTGGGGTTCCTCAAGGATCAGTTATTGGGCCCCTCCTCTTCTCTATATACACTACATCACCGGGACCCATCATTCAGGCACATGGTTTTTCCTATCATTGCTATGCTGATGACACGCAGCTCTACCTCTCATTTCAGATCCAACAGTACCTACTCAGATCTCAGACGGACATCTCAGCATGAATGAAAGAACATCACCTGCAGCTCAACCTGGCAAAGACAGAGCTTCTCATCTTCCCAGCCACCCCATCAGTACAGCACAAGTTTACCATCCAACTAGGCACCTCAACGATAATCCCATTGTGATCCTTGATGATCAACTGACCTTTAAATATCATATTGCAAAAATAGCATGATCATGCAGGTTTGCACTACACAACATCAGGAAAATCAGACCCTTCCTAACAGAGCATACAACACAATTTCTCTTCTGGATGGACTTCCAACATGTTAAATCAGACCTCTTCAAATGATTCAAAATGCAGCAGCATGTCTGGTTTTCAATGAGCCCAAGAGAGCCCATGTCATACTACTTCTCATCTCTCTGAACTGGCTTCCAGTCGTGGCTCACATTAAGTTCAAGTCATTGGTGCTTGCCTACAGAACAGCCATGGGCTCCGCACCCTCCTACCTCTGCTCTCTCCTGCTCATCTACATTCCCTCCTGAAGCCCGTGGTCGTTAAAGGAGCAGCGGCTTGTAGTCCCATTGCGCATCAGACACATGCAAACTCTTCAACACATCCCCTCTTTAACTGCTGACAATTTTGCTAATCACTTCACAAACAATCAGCAGTCATTTCTCGACTCCACTCACCCAGGAACTCACAGCAAACACTCACACAGTTGACCATCTTCTCTCCTCCTTCTCTCCTTTTACAGAAGATGAGGTCTCTTAACTGATCCTCTCCAGCCACCCTACCACCTGTACTCTAGATCCAATCCCCTCACATCTCCTACAAGCTATTTCCCCTGCACTTCTGACACACACACATCATCAAATCTCTTCTCACAGGCACTTTTCCCCACTGTATTCAAGCAGGCTTGGGTAACCCCACTGCTTAAAAAACCTACATTAGACACCTCACTTGTTGAAAGCTACAGGCCCGTATCTCTCCTCCCGTTCAGAGCAAAATCACTTGAACGTGTTGTGTTCAACCAAGTGCCTTCCTTCCTCTCACAGAACAACCAGCTGGGAAATAACCAATCTGGATTTAAAAGTGGCCATTCAACTGAAAACGCCTTGCTGTCAGTTACTGAAGCGCTATGGAGTGCAAGAGTCCAAATCTTCAGTTTGATGAAGATCGGTCTGATGAAGGCCTGGATAATGGCCGAAATGTCACATGAGTTTTTAATCAATAAAAATGGATTTCTTCAAGAAAGAGTGTTGCACCTTTTCTAATGGACAGTCCAAATCTTTAGTTCTCATTCTGCTAGATCTGTCTGCTGCATTCTACACTGTTAATCATCAAATCCTTCTGTCCTCCCTCTCATCATGCACTTCTGACACACACACATCATCAAATCTCTTCTCACAGGCACTTTTCCCCACTGTATTCAAGCAGGCTTGGGTAACCCCACTGCTTAAAAAACCTACACTAGACACCTCACTTGTTGAAAGCTACAGGCCCATATCTCTCCTCCCGTTCAGAGCAAAATCACTTGAACGTGTTGTGTTCAACCAAGTGCCTTCCTTCCTCTCACAGAACAACCAGCTGGGAAATAACCAATCTGGATTTAAAAGTGGCCATTCAATTGAAAACGCCTTGCTGTCAGTTACTGAAGCGCTATGGAGTGCAAGAGTCCAAATCTTCAGTTTGATGAAGATCGGTCTGATGAAGGCCTGGATAATGGCCGAAATGTCACATGTGTTTTTAATCAATAAAAATGGATTTCTTCAAGAAAGAGTGTTGCACCTTTTCTAATGGACAGTCCAAATCTTTAGTTCTCATTCTGCTAGATCTGTCTGCTGCATTCTACACTGTTAATCATCAAATCCTTCTGTCCTCCCTCTCATCACTGGGCATCACCAGAACTGCACTCTACTGGTTTGAGTCTTAACTCAGAGGTAGGTCCTTCAGGGTGTCTTGGGGAGGAGCGGTATCCAAATCACATCAACTGGTCACTGGGGTTCCTCAAGGATCAGTTATTGGGCCCCTCCTCTTCTCTATATACACTACATCACCGGGACCCATCATTCAGGCACATGGTTTTTCCTATCATTGCTATGCTGATGACACGCAGCTCTACCTCTCATTTCAGATCCAACAGTACCTACTCAGATCTCAGACGGACATCTCAGCATGAATGAAAGAACATCACCTGCAGCTCAACCTGGCAAAGACAGAGCTTCTCATCTTCCCAGCCACCCCATCAGTACAGCACAAGTTTACCATCCAACTAGGCACCTCAACGATAATCCCATTGTGATCCTTGATGATCAACTGACCTTTAAATATCATATTGCAAAAATAGCATGATCATGCAGGTTTGCACTACACAACATCAGGAAAATCAGACCCTTCCTAACAGAGCATACAACACAATTTCTCTTCTGGATGGACTTCCAACATGTTAAATCAGACCTCTTCAAATGATTCAAAATGCAGCAGCATGTCTGGTTTTCAATGAGCCCAAGAGAGCCCATGTCATACTACTTCTCATCTCTCTGAACTGGCTTCCAGTCGTGGCTCACATTAAGTTCAAGTCATTGGTGCTTGCCTACAGAACAGCCATGGGCTCCGCACCCTCCTACCTCTGCTCTCTCCTGCTCATCTACATTCCCTCCTGAAGCCCGTGGTCGTTAAAGGAGCAGCGGCTTGTAGTCCCATTGCAGAGAGGCACAAAGTCACTCTCTAGGATATTTTCTTTCACCGCACCCTGTTGGTGGAATGAACTCCATTCGGACAGCCAAATCCATGCCTTCAGTTTTTCTGTTCTCTTATCCTTTAT